CCAGTTCCCTTATATCGACATTTAGAAAGAATTAATTCAGAATCCACCTAAATAGTTAACTTCCTATACCATCAGGACCCCCTCTCTCAGAGCGGTACTAGTTACGCGAGTCCCAGGGCTCCTCGCGCCTAAATCTAAAAACCCTCCACCAGTTTTACAAGAAATACCCGAGGACCCTCCGGAGCCACAGCTTCTGCTGCCTCCGGCGTCTCTTCCCCCACCGCTTCCTCCATACCCTCCCCCTTCCCCTGCTCCCATCTACCCTTCACTTCCCGAACCCTTTCCCGACTCCACCGTACCTGAGCCCCCTGCCTCCTCCAAAGCGCTCCCTCCCTTATCGCCTTCGCTTACGAGAAGGGGATCTCCTTATACACTCGCTGGCCGGGAGTCCCAGTCCCCTGCTCCATCGGTCTCTGAACCCCCTGGACCTACGGCTATTTTACCTTTACACCAGATACAGCCTGGGGGGAGTTTTATTTATATCCCTTTCACCACCACTGATCTATACAATTAGAAACATCAGAATCCTCCTTTTTCAGAGAAGCCCCAGGCCTTAATTTCCCTGTTAATCGATCTCAATTGAAAGACAAAAACCATAAAAAGCATATGACAACACCAGAAGTCAAAAATGACTGCTATCCGAATGGCAGGCTTGGGAAGAATAAGGTGAAGATAAGTATGCATTTATGAAATTGATGAAGAAGCCAAAGCTTTGAAGTATAGGGGTTGCCCTAGATTATAGCAACCTCACACTGCGTCTAGAAATCTCCTATGTTCCTGGGATTCAAAACACAGGGAAAAAAATATCCTTTGAGAAACATAAAACAATTTAATAAGAACATTTCTGAATTTGAGATTGCTAAGATCTCTAGGTAGATTGAAGAAATGAGTACATGCAATAAAAAATTAAAATTGAACTTTGAGACAAATGGCTGTTGTTCTGATCCCTAACACAAAGAGTGGTGGGTCTCTCCCCCTTAACACAAGAAAATCCCTGGGAACTCAAGGGCTCTGAGCATATTTCTGATATCAGGAAGATTTTTACATGGTTTGTGGCAAGTTTCAAAGACAGTTTGAAACAAAAGTAAATATATAATAAGTACAGCAAATAGGTCTGCAATGGTAGTAAGAATGCAGAATGAGAAGGAAACTGAGGCCTGGGGTTCCATAACTTTTTATAGCTTTTCATAAAAAAGTTGCAATTGGCACAAATTTCCATCTCATAAATTGCAAAGTAAACCTGTGAATCAGATGAGGTCACTAGGGAGTGCACTATTAAGTATTTTTTTTTATGATCAGATTAAATAATGTTTTCTAAAGTGAACACTACTTGCATGAAGATGAATCAGTTTTCTCATTGGGGGGGATTCTGTGCAGATTAAGAGATTAAGATTTACCAAGAAAATCCTTCTTAAAGGGCCTGACACCATCAGGAAAAACATCCGTTTGGCTGTACTAGGGGCCTATTTGAGCCAAACACATTTACAGCATTTAAGTCATTTTTCCAAAAGCATGTTTTGGAGCATTACTTATTTCAGCGAATACCAACATTTTACAATATAAATAACTTCAGGGCATGGAAATTTAATTCCACCAATGATTCTTAAAATTTAATTATTAACAGAGGAAAGTTATTAGCGGGGTTTTCTTAAATTTGATGTTAGGAGACAGGCTATAACACTTACTCATTCCTTTTTGTGGGTCTCAATAGCCTTCCCAGAACCAAATGTCACTAATATTTCTACAGTCCCTCTATAGTGTTTCCTAAGGCAAAGTATAATGGTTCAATGGCATCTTGATTTCTGTTTCACAATCTGGATGCTGACACGTGGGGCTAAATGGGGAGCTCATGACGTTGAGGGGAAACTTTCAGATGGAGAAACTTTTTCCTACAACATATTTGCTTTAATTAATAAAACTAGATTCCTTTCAGAGGAAATCAGTATTCTTTAAGGGCAAGGGTCTCAATCATGGAGAATTCCAAGGTTATTTCAGCGAGGGAATTGACATTCTAGAACAAAACCCCCTCTGTCTTCTCAGTGTTTTAGCACCTATTTTCTCCTTTCATTATTTTTGTTTTATAAAAAATTCAAGAAGGCAGGTAGCCCCTATTTCTCTACATCCCTTCCCCTTTCCTTCGTTTTTAAATGAAGAATCGAGTCCTCAAAAGTCAAGATCACTTGGCTCAGAACGCTTCACACAGTGCTGGCTAGCTATCTGTGGGCCTGGGAACTGGAAACCAAACACTAGGTACGGCCCCTAGTGAGATCAAAATTTAGTATCCATCAAAGCAGAGAAACCCTGAAAATACCTACGCCTCCTTCTCCCACACACACACTTAGTAGTAGTCTCCCATGAAAACTCAACAGCATCAAGAAATTCTCACTCACATATCATCTCCCTCAAATGAGAGGTGCTGCCCCAATTGGACTACTTATTTATTATTGCCAGACTTGAACGGAGGCTACAATGACTCAAAACTCCATGATGTGTTATGTTTTTTGAAGGAATCTCACATCCACAACCTTATTTAAATAAACAATTTATCTGAAAATTGTAGAGGAGATCAGCATGTGAGACACAACAGCCTTGGCTGTGTTTGAGAGAAACACCTGGGTGGAGAGCTATCAAAGCAAAGGGCACATTTTCCACTTAAAAACCATTCTCTGAGGGCCGACTGTATGTCAGACATTTTGGTCCATATTATTCTAGGTGTTTGGCTTCTCCAGCCAGACTCCTTGTGCTTCCTTTCTTCTCACTGGAAATGCATTCTCTTCCCTGCCCTTACAGAAATTCACTTTTAAATTATGACCACTTAGCTCAATAAATCATTTAGCTTTGGACCACATATGCTAGCCATCCCAGGAGTATTTTCATTCTCAGGAGTACCCTGTCAAAGAGAATGATAGGCTATGGATCCAATTTAGGAAATTCCAGCTTCACTTAATTTAAATAAAAGAGGTATTGATATGGTCAGAGGTCTTCCCAGCACTGACGAATCCTAATGCTTCTGCCTGCAGCTAAGACATGACTTAGGAGTACCGAAAGTGTTTCTAAGCTTTGGTGCTCAAGCGAAAGGTGAAGAAACAGTCTCCGTCTTTAAATATTGGTTTGTCGGAAAAGTCATGACACATTTTTGCAACGAAAAACATAGAAAAATACGTCATGACTTTTCCGACAACCCAATAGTTAAGGTAATTGCTATTGTTTAGTGATCACTCGGCAGGTGCTGGTCACTCTTTTTAGGGCTTTACCTGTTTTAACACATTCATTTTCACACACACACACACACACACACACACAAATCTCTGATGTAGGTACTGTTATTATCCATTCTTCAATGAAAGAACTGAGACACAGAGTATCTAACTTGCCTAGGGTGTCATAGCAATGTGACTGAGCTGGGATTTGAACCCAGGTAGTCGGTGCCAGAAACTTGCCTCTGAAAATCCCTTACAGGACTGACTGGGGACACTGAATCTCATTCGGAAGACAGACCCACTCATTTACTAATTCTTCTTCATTAAGTCATAGAACATAGAGCACTCACCCCATGGTACAACTGGTCCAGGACTGATGAATCTTCATGGTGGCCAGTTTCCAGCCAGGCAGCATAAACCAAGGAAAAAAACAATGAATTCAGAGTAAGAAGGATTGGGCTTAAGTCCAGCTCTGCCAGTTCCAAGAGTGATCTTTTGAAAGTCACTGTTAACCTCTCTGTGCCTCAGTGTCCTCATCTGTAAAAGAGCTTTTTACTCTCCCTCCAATCCCATCATCCCTCCTGCAGGTGAAAGGAGCCCACACTCCAAATTACTTTTCTAGGTAGATGGTAAATTAAGGGCACACGTGGGATCAGTGTGATCCCCAACACTGGAGCCCCAACACTCCACAGGATGGTAAGTAAGGGAGGGAAGTGGGCAAGGGAAATGGCGTAAGAAATTTACAAGGAGGGGAACAAAGCCAAACTTTCATGATTAATGCAGAAACTAGAAGCAAAGCAAATGAAGTGTTGCAAAACAAGTAACACTGAATGTAAAATTAACATGGGTGAAAATCAATGAATTAATCAAGGCTTAGTATTTCCACCTCTATTGTAAAAGAAAATTCATTTTTAGCTTAAGTGAGACTCAGGACACAGTGTTCTCCATCTCAGCACTTCTAATGCCTTTTCCCCCTGTGGTCCACACCCTTTATTTGGCACTTAACATGGACCTCCTGAACTGGTGCTTTAATCACTCCCTCCAGGTCCATGCACAAAGGCAAAAATCTTGAACTTGAGGCCTTTCTCAGGTTCGTACCTTGAGGCGTTTCTCAGGTCTAACCCAGCCTGTGATGTCTCCATGTCCTGCTCTTGGTCTCCAGTCTGTTTAGCCTTCTCAGGCAGAACATTTGGCTCAGTCCTGGGTCCATGAACTCAGACTTCAGATGGCCTTGCGCTCCATGCCTCACAGTCTTGAGGCCCAGTGTCCCTCCCTCCTATCCTTGAGCACAGCTTTAGGGCATATATTGCCTAGGTTCAAGTCCCCGCTCTTCCAACTAGCACGGCAACCTTAGCTAGCTATGGAATCTCTATGTGCCTCAGTTTCTTATCCCTAAAATATAGGTACTACTGACGCCTGATTGACCTACTGGCATTTAGAACACAGTGTCTGATACATAATAGGGGCTATATAAATAATCGCTATCATCATTATTTTGTATTGGAGAGCTGCATTATCCGGGAATGGAATCTTAACACACCCTGCCTCCTACTGTCAATTAACCCTTTGTATTCTTCCTCTTTGAGCAAAATCTCCCTAAGAGGAGGGGCTGTTATCATAATCATCTTTGTTTCCCCTGCAGTACATGGCTTAAAGACAGCAGATATTCAGTAAAGAGTGGGCAGGCTAAAGTGTCATTATCTGAAGCTATAAATTCAACATGTGTCTCTGCTTAAAAATTCAAGCATATTATTATTTAGAGCTGGCATTAGTGATTGATGATGGCTCCAGTTTAACTTTCCAACTAACACAACAATTAAAGTAGACAAAAGTCACAATAATTTCCACCATTAAAATGTGTATTGGGAGAGAAAAATACGAAAATTACAAAGAGTCAGATTAGAGAGTAAAAAGCTAGCTTGATACCAAAATTTCCATTAATCAGATTAAAATAGAAGCAGGGAATGTGAAAAGTGAAGAGATTTTTTTAATGCTTCCAGGTAACAACAAGGGGAAAAACTGGATCTATGAAACCGTGATCAGTGCCTGAGGGAAATACGAAAGGTCTGATTTCAGGATTCCAACATAAACTGAAAATATATTTTTTCATTATTCCCTTTGCTTACACTGCCCCAGCATCTTTATGCCTCAGTCTCTGGCTGCCTTCAGGTATCTGCTCAAATGATGCCTCATTAAAAGGCTTCCTTGGTGACTTGATAGGAAAGCATGTCTATGGCCACGGTGAGTCCCCAGCCATCACCCTGATGAACCTGTTTCTGTGGAACTTGTCATCTGCCACATTACACATCTATGGGTCACGCAGTCTCTGCCCCCACACACTGTAGAATGTAACCACCATGAAAGGAGAAGCTTTGTTCCCTGGTGTGTCCTGTACTTGAGAGGTTACCTAGAAAATCGCGGGTGCTCCATAAAAGCCTGTCCAATGAGTGATCCACTTATTAATACAAATATTAATAAATATATATGCAAAGTAGTTAAAATAGTGGTTGGCGCACAGAGCGGGCCCAGTTAGCTGTTCATCGTTGGAGTAGAGTAGCAGTATTCCTCCCTCAATTCTTTTTTATGGTTTAGTAACAAAAGACTTCTGCCTTGGGGGGACTCAGAACCAATGGGAAGAGATAGATAAGGGAGTGGGCCTGCACCTTTAAAATCTAAGAGTGGAGAACAAAACGACAGCAACTTGTCTGTTCCCCTCCCCCAATGCTCCAATAAAATCTTTTTTTTTTTTAAATCTAAGAGTGGAGCCATTTGCTTTATTTAGGGGGTACTGGGAACTACTCAAGTGCTCTGTAGTTCAGTATGGTCAAAGAACAGGCTTTAGGGAAGCCTGGGGGGGCTAACAATGTGGGGGGGCAAGGATGGAACCAGGGTGAAGAGTGGGCGAGGGTGCAGCTTGGCAGCAAGCAGACGTTCACAGCACGGCAATGACTAAGTCTACCCTCTTACCTAGGTCCACCTTTGCTTGGGCAGGCTCCGGGCTTTGAGATGTCAAAACTTTATGTCACCAAGCTTGTGTAGAGAAAAATAAATCAATCAAGGCTTATCTGAAGCAATTTGCATATTATAGGTGTATGGGTGTGTGTGTGTGTGTGTGTGTGTGTGTGTGTGTGTGTGTGTGTGTGTGTGTTTTACAGCATTTTCTGTATACTTGGGGAGACCAATTCTAAGGGGCTTTCAGAAATAGGGCTGACCCTTTTTCTACTGAGGTGAGCCGAGGGAAGAGAAAAGCCCCCATCATTCATGAGACAACAATAATCTCTCGCTTGAACAACAGCACAGCACAGGGTGACCCACCGGCTGGCTTGCCAGGATGGAGGAGTTTCCGGACGCAGGTCTTTCATGCTAAAACCAGCACAGTCCTGGGCAAACCAGTACCAGCTGGCCACCCTACCACTACGGCACCTCCAAACTGGCCTGTACTCCCACACCTGTTGCATCACACTGCAGCCAGTGACGCCTTTGCACAACAAAAACCTGACCTTGTCACCTCCTCACTAGTCACACAGTCAAAATCCGTGAGTCTATCCCTTATCACAGCCTGAAAGGCCCTCTGTGATTGTCCCCCTACCTCTTTTTGCCGGCTTCATTTCTTACCAGGCCCCGACCACTGTTACCTTTTAGTGGCTCACGTGCAGGTCACTCCCCCTTGGCACCCAGGCTCTGCAGCTGCTGCCCCTCAGAACAGAATGTGATTGTCATCCATCCCTCATTCACATAGTTAAACTTATCATCATTCTTAATAACACAGCTGTATCACCGTCACTTTTTCAGAGAACTTTTCCTGACGTCCCTGAGCAGACAAATCCCCTTTTCTGGGCCCTTTTGGTGTCACAGCCACGGCTACTGCCTGCCCACATCCTCTTGGCAGTCACCTCCGCACATGGAGAACTATTCACTGCAAACTCCTGTGACTTTCTGCCTGATGGTTTTTGTCTGTCCACGGGAACACCCTCACCTGCACACAGGCTGGTGCCGGAAGAGATTAGAGTGACAGGCAGGCACTAGATCAGGTAGATTTGGGGAGCCATGATACAGAGTCCAGATTCGATTCTAAGTCCAACGGGAAGCTATTTGAGAATTTTAAGCTGAGGAAAAACATGATCTGATTACATTTTTAAAGGTCATTTGGGCTGCTATATGGAAAGCAGACTGCAAAAGGGCAGGCGAGGAAGCAGAGAGAGAGGGAGGCTCACTGGGAGGTTAGTGCAGTAGCCCAGATTATTATTCGACAAGAAATCACTGTGGAAGGGCCACTGAAAGCATAATAAAAAGTAGCTATTTGTAGCATAGCAGATCAAGCCTTCAAGCTTGGGGTCTGCCCCAGACCAGCAGCTTACTTGAGAAGGCCTTCTGAAGTCTGTTTCATTCCAATGGGTCCCTGGGAGGGGGTTAAAAATATTCTTCTTCTTATGTATGAAACAGGGATGAATATATAGTGCATACCCAGATACACAGTTCATCTGTAGCGCTAACATTTCACAGGGGTGGGGGAGGGAAGGATTAGAGAAAAGTCTAAAGGAGAGATACAATAAAAAAAAAAAACCTTGAGAAACATGGTTTCAGAATATCAAACAGGCTGCAGGCTCCTAATTAGGACCATCAGGTGCTCATAAACTGGCCTGGAATGGCCCCTGGCCTCCTGGGGACCTATCATAGCCCTGGAACTGCCCTGTCACCTCACGTTTCCTCAAAGCTGTCCAGACACTGACTAATTCACCATCTCAATGGGAAGATGGTCCAGTAAGATAAGATGGTCATTTGCAAGTCAGCCTCTCTAAACACAGATGCTCCTGTGTGGACATTCTCGAGAAGTACCGCGAAAGAAGGATGTTTCAGCCGTTGCATGGGATACGGCAAATACTGCGCAGCTCGGCAGGGTCTCTTGTCCTGTATTTCGTGCTTCTCTTTCTGTCAAGACTTTCTCCCTGTTACCTGATGAATTCCTAGGCTTTAGCAGAGCCCAAGCCACAAATGTCTCCTTCCCCTGGAAATCCGGGGTGAAAAATTATTCCTTCTTATGAGTGTCCAGAGCACTTTGTAAAATAATATTAATGGAAATTATTTCTTGAGCACTTGGGGCAGGCTCACCTGAATTTATTTCATATAATCCTTCTATTATTAATTCTATTTTACAGATAAGAAATTGAGGCTTAGAGACGTGAAAGAGCTTGCTCAATGTCATATAACAAATAAGTAGTAGACAGCTTGAATCTCCACTATTTATTTAAGCAGCCTCTTAACCTCTAGGCTGTATATGCACTTTTATATTACTCACCCCACTGTATTATAGTCAGCAGTTTACTTGCCTCTTTCCACTATAACTTCCAATGTAAGTGACCCAGGCCAGGTGTTATGAAACAAGAATTAGTTTTACAATCAAATCCTGTTGTGTAACTTTGGGATATTACTTACTGAGACTCTGCTTCCTCTTCTATAAAATGGGGACAATAAATACCTACCTAATGGTTTACTGTCAAGATAAAATTAGACATAACTTGTAATGCACTTACCACAGTTTCTGGCACATAAAGGCCCATTCAATTAAACAAGTATTAATTGAGGGCTTATGAAATGCCAGGCTTTAGGGAATTGAGGATAAAGAAATAATAAATCAGCTCTCATAATGCTAATACACTAGGAATTTAATATATTTTTGTTGCTCTCACTTCTTGAGGATGAGGACTATGTGTTATTCAACAGTGAATTTTTAAAGTTCAGTAATGCCTACAAACAGATAGTCACTCAACAGCTTTTTAGTGAATGAATGAAAAATGATTTACACAGTTTCAGAGACCCTAAGTATTAGGGATTATGAATGATTGTGTCAAATTAGTGGGTTGACATTTATCAAACAGTTGGTAAAATAACTGAAAGTAAAGCTCAAGGATATCACACCCAGCATGTGTACACATTGAATTCATTTAAGCATACAGCTACTACTAAACAACTCTCAAAAGTAAACTCTCAGAGCAAAATAGAATACTATAACTTGAACAATGTACACATAGTCTAATAGTACCCAGGCAGAGGAAGAGGAGAGAAAGTTTCAAGTGTTACTCTCCCCCCCCAAAAAAATGGGAGGAGGAGGAAATTTATACTGTCTAAAGAGGAAAGGATTCATAAAAACAGCTATATAATTAATGACAATCACTTCAACCTTTTAATATTTTTCATGATATTTTAGCATAGAGATTTTTTTNACCTGAAAAGCTATCCTAAAGGGACCAATTCCCACACTACTGACTTCTTGAAACCGCATCTTCAGAAGCACTTCCAAGAGTGAAGCGGCACCTCTGATATGTGTTAGGAGCAATTACAAGTCAGTTTTGCTCTTAGAAGGGAAATGTGATTTGATATTGATGGAAAGGAAGTAAATTTTTCCAGGGCTTGAGACTAAATAGATTTTAATTGAAGTAGGAAACATTTAAAGCAAACCAACAAAATAATATCATGACCATAAGAGTTTAGTCCTAGAAAGAAAAAAGGGAATGTAACTCAAAGTCTTAATTCCATCATTGTTTCAAAAGCTTTCTGAAAAGATTCATAAATTTTATTCTGATCTTCAATTAAACTCAGAAATACATACTTGCTCTAAGCTTGGGAGGGAAGAGAAGAGTGTTTATGAGGTGGTTTAAAGAGAAAAAAAAAGAAAAATATTTTCCAAAGAGTTTATTAAAAGACAAAACATAAATAAATTAAAAGATTATAGATCACTATAAAGGTATACACTAATTAACAGGTTAGTGATATAGACATTTAGGGTAGTATGTGCTCCTTGTTTAATAAACAATTACTAAGTGCCTAATACTATATGTTAGATGCCCTACGAGACTGGGGGTATCCCTTTCAATAAAACCCATGTCTTGACCTCAATAAAGCACAACTTATTTGAGGACATACAATCTAGATCAGACTTGCAAAGATCACTTTATAAACATAATTGCTAGTCTTCACAACCACCCAGCAGGGTAGGTATTATCTTCATTTCACAGATGAGGAAACTGAGCCTAAAGAGAACAATAGCTCACTTGAGGTTACACGGTTACGAAAAAGTCTTCATCTCAAATCCTTCTGACCCAGAGACCCACAATTTTGTGCTACACCATGCTTGCTTTCCTAAGGGAAGAAGTTATCGCTAATAAACCCCACAGAAATGTANGTCTTTAAAATGACTTGAGAAACCAGTTTGCAAAGCAGAAAAGACTAGATTCTTTTGAATGTTCTTCATAAATGTAATCCACTTAAATAAACAGGGTAGAGAGCTAATGAATGGCTATGTGCATGTTTACAATTTTTAAGGCTTTTACGTGAAGAATGAGAGGTTATGAAAGAGATTATAAAAAGCTTCATGATGCCAGACTATGTCTGATGGGGTCTTTAAGACCAGGATTTCAAAGTAAGTGGCTTTCCTTGTCCCTTAGTGTTTAAGACATGCTTACTGAATGTCAACATCTACTTGAATCAACTAGAATAATCCGGTTATCACCCTCTAGTTAAGAAGAATAATCTAAAATCCACAAATGGTTACATAGTTGTCAAATGTGCTTATGTGGCACATTTGGAAAATGACGTCTAAATTATCTGAGCCACCTGTTTAGCTTTCACAGGAGGTACCACAGTAACATTTTTTCACGTATAAATGTTTGAAAGAAAAGTTGGGATTTTGATTTATTCCTTAAAGTAACTCAAGAAATCTATTCAATTTCATGTAGCCTAGAATTCTAGGGACAACAGGATTCAGTATTCCCTGAGTTTTATATAATTACATTAATATTACAGAAAGGGTTTTCAATTCAGTGAGCCACTTGGATATAAAACCTTTAATCATTGTCAATTCCAGTTTATAGAATAAAAAATAAATTTTTGTTTCTGTTAGTTTTGGAACTGCCTTCTCTCAATGAAATTTCGTAGCCTATCGTTTCTTTATTTCTCATAAAGGAAAAACATTTTCACAAAACAATATTTGTGAAATGCTTTAACTCCTATTGCATTCTGTCAAAATGTGGGTT